ACATTTCCATCCTCAGTCAGCTGTCATCAGTGAACGGGATCGCACACTGTCCTAAAAGCAGTCTGAGTGGAAAGACATGCCAATGAAACTACAATACTGTGACCTCTGTAGTTCTTGAAGAGGCAGCTGATCACTGCTTCTTCCATTAGTATTTGTGTACAGTGTAAACTGTTGAATGGGTTGAGAAGCACGCATATATACATGCATATACATTTCAACTGGTCATGCTGGTAGCTTTGGTTAGTGGTGCTGATTTAAGTAGTGTTGCCATTTAAGTGTCCTGTGATGTGGTTTATTGACTTCAATGTGAGGAACTCTTAGTGACCTGAACATCAGGCATCTATCGGCCCTTTCAGTGTCATTTATAGAGTGAAACAGCTAAAACCAAGCTATTTAATTAGTGTGGATCATGTCCTACCTGTGCCAATGACCCTTGTGTTTAACAAATCTCAGCTACGTCTTCTTTGTAATCATCAAACTTTTATTAGAGTTCAGAAAAACCTGTGTAAATGCTGGTATCTGATAGGTCACTGAGGAATTTCCTTCATCAGTGCTTGTTTTAGAGGGCTCCTGACATTTGTATTCTATTGGAAAATGCAGTAAGTTATGAGCCATCAAACAAATATGGAACAATGCAAAATAGTGATAATATTGAAGAAGTCACTTGTTGACCCATTAGCGGGGGGCCCTTAAACAGTTCTTTTTTTGGTGGTCATAGTAGTAATGCTAGCGAAGGAGGCAAGGGTTTTGTGTTGCAGTGTGGTGCAGATTAACAGAAAACAAAAATCTGTTTTACAGTTTTCCCAAATTTGGGGATAGTGGAGTATGTAGGAAATGTAAGAAAGTTAAAATGACAATCTAGTAAAAGTCTTTTATTTTAATTTTAACAAGTACATAAGTAATAACAAAATCATTTTATTTCCAATTTTGCTGTGTCAGTGTGAAAAACAATCGTTATTATTTATGGTTATCGTGTAAGTTTAAAGACAAGCTTAGACAGCATTTTCACATTGACTTTTCATTATGGAAAGGATGGAATTTTCTTTAGTGCTAAGTCAGTTTTAATTTATGGCAAAGATGAAGTTAGCTACTTCACTGTAGAAGCAAACCCTAAAGTGCTTAGTAAAAGGGTGCCGAACATAAGGCCCGGGGGGTGTAAACGGCCGTCAAAGACTCAAAATGCATCCAGTTGATTGCTTTGGATAGGTGCATTTTCATAAATTTGAGCCTACCCCTTTTCCTATTTATAAGGACCGCCCCATGGCCTTTCATACTTATTTACCAATGTATTAGACAGAATCTTTTTTTATTTTATTTCACCATCTACTATACTTACTATACTATACTACACTCTTGGTTTTATAATGACAATTTAACCCCCGAAATGTCAGACTGACAGATTTCTTTCTTCATACTGTTGACATTGCACTTGTTTTTGTTATATTATAGCATTAAACATGTAGTAAACTTCTTTGTACAAGAAAGATCAGTTTCACTGGTCCAGCTAGCTTAAATCAACGTCCATTGACTAGATGGACTTAAACAATGAATAACAAAATACAAGGAAACTTAGACCCAAACTAATAACAGCTACAACAAGAACTTAAGAAAGATTCACTTTTTTCTCAAGGATAAGGTTTGTCAACTCATGGATTATTTCTCCATTTTCTTTCTCAAGTTTCTTGCATCTTTTCTCCACATCTTCTAATTCTGCTTCATTTGTTTTCTGTTGTTGCTTTTGCACCTGGATTTTAGTGTTCTTGTTCTTCAAGTAGTTAGAAAGTTCCTGAAGTTCTGTGTTTTTTCTCAGCATTTCATTGATGCTACTCTGCATCTCTGAGCATTGTTTTTCCGGCTTTTTCTTTTCTCCCTCCAGTTCAGTTGTTTTGTACTTCCTTTTTGTTTTGTTTTTTCCTCTGAAGAACAAGTTTTTCTTCTTTCAGTTTCATGCTCCTTCTCTTGAAGTATTTCTTGATTTTTGAGCAGTGTTTCATCAAGAGTTATTTGGAGCACCTTGTATTTTTCTCATCTCTTCAAGTTTGCAATCCATTTCTTTCTGTTGTGTGTCCTGTTGTTCTTTTTCTCAAAGAAAATCTTTATTTCTGTGCAGTGTTTTGTCGAGCCTTAATTAAAGCACTCTGGATTTCCCCCCCCATGTCTTCAAGCTTGGTGTCCATTCCTTTCTCTTTTATCTCTTGTTGGTTTCTCTCTTGGAGCAGCTGTTGATTTTTGTGCAATGTTTTGTTATGCTTTACCTGCAGCCTTGGAGTTTGGACTGCATGTCTCTCTGCTCGATGTCCTGTTGTTTCTTCTCTTGGTGGATTTCTTTATTTTTTCCAGAGCTTCATCAAGCTTTACTTGCAAGCCTTCGTTGTGTTTCTCTGTGTTCTGAAGCTTGCAATCCGTTTCTTTCTGTTTCATGTCCTGTTGCTTCTTCTCTTGAAGCATCTCTTGATTTTTCAGCAGTTTCACTAAGAGTTATTTGGTGCATTTTATATTTTTCCTCTTTCTCTTGAGGTTTGCAATCCATTTCTTTCTGTTGTGTGTCCTGTTGTTCTTTTCTTGAAGAAACTTTATGTCTGTGCAGTGTTTTATTGAGCTTTATTTGGAGCACTCTGGATTTTTCCTTCATGTCTTCAAGCTTGCTGTCCATTTCTTTCTTTGAACTCTATGTCATGTTTTTTCTTCGCTTGGAGGATTTCACTATTTTTTTCCAGAGCTTGATCAACCTTTTCTTGGAGCTCCTGATTCTTTTTGTCTTGCACAGCCCATTGTTTCTCCTCAATAATACCTTCTTTTTCTTGAAGCTGGTAGGACTGTTTTTTTTTTCATTCAGCACTCTTTCACTCATTTTCTTGCCTCAGGGACATAATCTTTTCTCTGTTCATGAGATTTTCATTCTGCATTTCTTCAAAGCGCTTCTCCTCTAGTTGTACGTGTTCACCCCAAGGAAGAGAGCTGAGGTAAGGGTCTAGGGGTTCATCCCATGGAAGACAGCTGGGGTCAACTTCTTGTCTTTCTTGATCATTTCTCTGTATCTTTTATATATATATTTTTTAATTATTCAACTTTATTCAACAAAAATTTACAATGTATTTCAATCGGGAGACCCTTCAAATCCTCATTCAACTTATTCGTCTTTCAACTCTAACTACTTCCACATATGTTGACCCACAGATACCATTTAAACTTTAAAACGAAGTCAAGCTATTCAACTTGTATTTATCTTTTCAATATCTTTTATACTTTTTTATTCAGTTCCAGTTTAAGTTTCATGCTTTATTTTCTAATGTACATTTTAAACATGCTCGGCTACTTGCCAGCTTCAAAACCCCTGAAATACAGACACACAGAGACATACACTCACACAGAAACACACACATACATGTGCGCGCACACACACAGCGCAAATATTCAGTTTTTTTCTCATCTACATTTTAAACATCTTCAGCTACTTTCCAACTTTGAAACTTCTTCATCTGTGTGAACTTTAGCTTTCAACAGTTCTACACTTCAGCCTTCAGGTGAATGTTTCGTCCTATTTTAGCTCATTCAACATTTTTAACAACATTCAGCAGCCATTTCAGCTCAAAACATTCAACTATCAGCATTTACACTGCAGTTTCTTCAGAAAATGCATTTTCTAGTTCTAAATGTAGGGGAGACCGGGGATAGTTGTAACGTGGGTCAATTGTAACACTTCCAATTTCTCCGATCAGGGCTAAGTTTCAAATTATGTGACTCATCCTGTGCATGCCCAACTCAGTTCTGCTATCACATGTGAAAAATCAGCACATTTTGTCAAACACAGACAATTTAACACGAAAAAAAGTAATTTGTATGCCAAAAAGTAAGTTTTTCTACTTTATTTCAATTTCTAATACCATTATCTGCTTTGCAGTTAAACTCATCAAACTTGAATTATGTTATTTGTTTGTCTATGGGGATATATTCTGTGTAGGTCTTTAGTGCTAATGTTTTAGCCGTTGGCTGTAATGTTAGCTAGTTCATGGCTATA